TGCCCGACCCGCCTTCCACGGGCGCTCTTGTTGCTTCCGTAGATGAAAGAAACAGTCATGAACCAGGAAAAGCTCGCCAAGCTGCAGGCCCAAGTGCGCATCGGTGGTAAGGTAGGAGCCGTCTCCCCGTCTAGCCCTTGGGACAGCGCGTCCCTACACCCACGCCAAGCCTAGCACGAGGGGTCCTTAGCACCGGGATGGGGACAGCCCCGAGTACCCTCAGCCTGGCTGCACTGTCCTCGGGGGCAGCTGTGCTACCGCGGCTGTTTCCAGGGCCAATGCGGTAGAAGCAGAGTGTGTGGTATCGGAACCTCCAGCGTCTTCTGTTTGGATTTGTTGTGCTGTGTTGCAGTAGACTTGCAGGCTGTATTCTTGCGTGGACTGTTTTACAAAGCGGGTGGGGTTTTGAAGTGAGTAGGCCTTACAGCAAGTGATCTCGGGTATAGTTTTCATAACAAATTATAGAGGGTTATGTTCTAAACTCTCATCACAAATCTTTTAAGATGCCCATGGCTGTTATTTTTTTGCTTTCTGGGACAGAGTTGAAAATTCTGTACTTGTAATCGTAGGCTGACACACTCAGAAGACTTTATTACAACCTCTCAGTATACTTAACTGTGTGATTACTTTGTAATCTGAAAATAAAGTATGTGGAGTACAGTCATATGCTAGTAAGCGTTTTAATGGCAGCATCAGTTTTAAGACAAAAAATTGTTAGTAATTTTTCTCATACGTGAGGAAGTGCACGCACAACACTTCAGAATACAAACTGTTCAACAACTCTTGTTGACAGAGTTTCCAGGAGCTTTTGTTCCTATGTTGAGGTGTTTTTTTTTTTTCTTTTCCCTTTAACTGAAGATTTAGGCAGCTTTAAATCAAGGTCAGCGTAGTCATTACCTAGTTTGGTGATTTTTTGCCTATTTTTCTGGGTTATTAGTTAAGTGATGGACTGTTGTATTATATTGATGATTGCATGTGTGTTGCCAGTGTGTGTGTATGGACTGTAGAGGCTTTCAATCTTTGTCACATAAGAGCATGCATTCAGACTTACAGCTCTTGCAGCTCTCTGGTCAACACAGGCCTTCCAGAGACATTAAGCAAAGCTTAAAATATGCTGGTGATGCTGTGATTCACTTTTAAAGTTGTCCTGTGAAACACCTAGAATGCCTGAACTTGACTTTTAAATTTGTTTTATAACTGGAAATTGTTACTGGGATCCTTCACTGCATGGTCACTGTGTAAGTTGGGATGGGTGGGAAGGAAGTAAAGGGGGAAGAGTCATGAGAAGAGGTTGCACATTGCCTCTGCTGGAAGATTTTTATGATGTTGCAAGGCTGCAGACCTTGCAAATAAACTAACTTACGTTTAGGTGGAGGGCTAGTGTAGTACTTTGCTATGTGAAATACGAGATTCCTGCGTAGGATATCGCTACAGCACAATGCCATGGTTCTTCTTCCAAACCTTTTTAGAGGAGTGGCAGATGAGTCTGAAGAATTCCACTGGTGGCCTGCTGTATCCACCTCTTTAATATGGAGGTGGAGGGGTGTGAACAGCATGTCTTGGCATGATCAGGATAAAATTTGCTTAGTAAAAACCTGTAATCTTTAGAAGCTTTAATCTGTGGAGATGAAAACAGCAGCTGTTCCTGTAAATTAAACTCAGATTATGGGAAGTTTGATGTCTCTGTTTAATTCAGATAAAAAGGAGGTATGTGTTCCTACATAGCCATTGATTCAGGACACAATTTTTGGAAGCATATTGAAAATCTCTTTTTTTCCCCAAGAAACTTAATGTATACCTTAGGTAGCTCAATTCCTATGTAGCCAGGGTACTAAAATAAGCCATTTCTCTTATTTTAGTAGTTTTAAGATTTGTGTGTGTGCTAACCTGACAGTAGCAGGGAATAAATATCAAGCTTTCTAGACAAATGTCTAAATTTTTGGGCTGAGTCTTCCAAGTGTTAGTTTCACATGAATTTGTCGCTAACGTTCCTCATTGTTTGGAACTGGATTATTTCAGAGGTGTTAGCGTCCATCCAGTTTCTAACTTACACCAGTTAACTGGATGGAAAGGTATTGCATCTATACAGTGAATTTACACAGCTGGGCAGCAACACATTGTCTTACTGCTAGCATGTGGCAGATGGGCAGCTGGCGTAGGAGGACTTAGGTTTGTACTTAGTGTGTCAAAAAGAAGCTTAGTTTCACCTGTTCCTGGATATTTTATGTTAGATATTACTGAAGCCTTATTATAGTGCAAGGCAGTGTAGAAGGACACTTTTTGCTTTATTGTAGACATAGATGTCGAATATGGGATGGTTATTTCCCTCGAGAAATGTATAGCTATGTGTCTGTAAGGGAGGGTGACTTTTGCTTGATTTGCTTTCTGAACAGGCGTGCTCTGGAAAAATAGGTAGAAGTATTCGTAAAGAATATATTTATAACATATTTTGGGGAAAAAGTGTTCTTCAAATATGTGTGTGTAAGTCCATCAGATGGGAGGTGTTTCTTTTGGGAAAAAACGTATTTTGAGTTTTCTCATATTCAGTTGCTGTTGATATGTTTGATAACTTCATGGCCTCTGACTGTTACAGAAATTCGGCTACAGTTTAAGAAAGATGATCTAAGGAAAAACTCATAAGCTTCAGAAGTTACCTAAAACTGTGCTCATTCTTCATTTTTATGCCTATGGTAGCAGATAAGGGTAAACTGGCATTTTTTTCTGTCCGGAGATGCTGCAGAATCCCTGTAAGAATTGTGGAATAAACACTCTCTGGTGCACTGCCTCTCAAAACTTGCGCTTCTCACAGACATGCAAAGTTGCCTTACAGCAAGGGAAGGACTGCTGCAGTGCAGTTGGAGGGGTGGGGTTGTGTGCACTGCGAGACAGAAGCAGAACTTCGTATGTTAAGTGAATTTGTAGATGATTGCAGGGTAGTTACGCGGCCCTGAGGATTAGCATTTGTGAAGAACTGCTCCAGTATTAACTTGTAACTTTATTTTTTTGCAAAGGGTACTGCCCGCAGAAAGAAGAAGGTTGTCCACAGAACAGCTACAGCAGATGACAAGAAACTTCAGTTTTCTTTGAAGAAATTGGGAGTCAACAATATTTCTGGAATTGAAGAGGTAATTGCTTTAAAGGAAAAAATACCTTTCTGTATAGAAATACAAAATGTATCAAGATCAATTTCCTTGTGAGCAACATCCTAAATGTGTAAATTATCTGTAGGTATTTATTAAGTTTTAAGAACTTCAGTTTCCTTGTAAATCAAAAAAACTTGCTAAGCTGTGTTTTTTTTCTTTCCTTTGCAGGTAAACATGTTTACCAACCAAGGAACAGTCATTCACTTCAATAACCCTAAAGTTCAAGCATCTTTGGCTGCAAACACTTTCACTATCACTGGCCATGCTGAGACTAAGCAGCTGACAGAAATGCTTCCTAGCATCTTAAATCAGCTTGGAGCTGACAGCCTGACCAGCCTGAGGAGATTGGCAGAAGCTCTACCCAAGCAGTGTAAGTTGAAACTTGAATGCATTTCATGCTGGCAGCTGACATGAGGCTTATTTGTGTAGCAGCAGTGAAATGCAGTGCACTTTTGCTGCCTGCATGCATGCTAAAATGCTTATAAAGAAATGGAACTCCTAGATCTTATTTATAGCTCAAATCCAACAGGGAGTATAACTGAATAATGCAGAGGCACCTGTCAGCGTATCTTGCAGCTGGTCTAGGACTGGAAAGCTGTAGCCAGACTTGAATTTCATGGCGGTTTACTCCTTGATGTGGCTACCATATTTTGTCATGCCTTGGTCATTAAAGCTAGGTAGGTGAGTTACTCTGGAAGAGTTAGGTTTTAAAAATGGTAAACTTTGAGTATGTCTATTTTGACACTTTGAATGGGAACATGAGTAATGAGGAAAGGGGCTTGAGGACAGACATCTTCCAGCTGCTTTGCTGCTTCTCAGGTGTGGTGAAAGTATTTCTTGCATGGGCTTTTTGATAGCTAGGAGGGAATTACACAGTATTCGTAAGGAAATAAAATTTCTCTGTGTGTAGAACAGTGTAAAGGACAGGACTGGCATGAGCATTAAGCTGGATAAACCAAACTTCTTGTTCCATCCGTAAATTAGTAAAAGAACATGAACACTTGTTCTCCCTAAAAGTGGTGTGGGGAAAAGTAGACGAAGGACTTCAGTATGTGGTGTTTGAAAAAGGTGCTGCTGCCAACAGGGTGAGGATTGGGAGTGAAGGACAGGCTTGGCACTGGGAACTTTCCTTGTGTCCTGCATATTCCTGGTCTTCCTACTTTTCTGAAATAGCTTGCAAGGAATGGGCTTAAGATATGGAACATCCTAAATACAGAGAACGTGGGAGAAGCATAAAATTGTGTGCAGTTTCTGGCAGTTCTGAACTGGATTTTTCTTCCTCTGCTGCCAACAAGGCAGCTTTTACTTCCATTCCTAAAGTTGATACTTCCCTTCTGACTTCCCACTGAAAAAGTCCTGCTAGAAGTAGTCTTCAGGTGGTGAGCTAGACTGTGTCTTTCCCCATGGCGCTTAGGTCTGTCCTTCCTTCCTGTTATCACTTGTGTGGCTTCCTTGTTGTTAGTAATAGGGCTTGAAAGAAAAAAAGCATGAAGGATTGAAAATGATCCCCTGAGATCTCTCTTCTCATAACAAGGAAGGTATGTTCTGGATAAGCTAAATTGTGCAGTTTTAATATTAGGGAAGCCTGCTTAAAGTGCTTGCTTTGTATGACCTAGTAAATGGCTATTCCTTTTCACTTTGGGTGAATGCCAGAGTAGTTGCACAAAACTTTCCATTCAGCATTGTCTGCTAGATTTGGAAGCCTGACATGGAAGAGTGAAGTGTCTGTGATTGCATTTGCAGGTGCTAAAGTAAGCTTTGTCTGGTCTTGGGTAAGAGAGAATGCAGACAATTTAGGAGAAATAACGTGGTTTGCTTCTAAAATGTTGTATTTGACACTGAGATGCACTTAAGCTGTGACAGCTTTCTGCTGTTAAAAAAAACAGAGGGTGGGTTGGTGGTGACTTTGTCCCAAGTCCATTCAGACTAAAGTTTACGCATTCATCTGTCTTGGTTCCCTGTAAATCAGTGTACAGATCTAGTATGAACCTGTCTCTTTCCTCATGCTTTTCTTGAAAACTGAGAAGGGTTAATTAGGATAAAACCAATAGAGAGTACGAGGCAGCATGCGCTTGGTAGTACAGCTAAGAATAGCAGTAAAAGTGGTGGCACAGGCACCCAGGGACCTCAGGTATCTGTTCTCAGCATTACTGCTGAGTTTCACAGATGCTCACTGGACTGCTACAGTGGAAATGGTGAAGTTGCTCAAGCTCTGGCAAATACAGTAGGAATGGTGATGAAAATTCTGAGTCAGAGATGTGGACCAGAAGACATGGCTACTTCAGCCACCTGAGTGTAAAATAGAATCACAGAATAGTTTGGGTTGGAAGGGACCTTAAAGACCATCTAGTTCCAACCCCCCTGCCATGGGCAGGGACACCTTCCACTAGACCAGGTTGCTCAAAGCCTCATCCAGCCTGGCCTTGAACACTGCCAGGGATGGGGCATCCACAGGTTCTCTGGGCAACCTCCAGTTCCATATTTCTCTGACTTTGCAAGGGAACAATAATATCTTTAAGCACCTCTAGTCATATGGGTCTGCCTGCAGTGCCGCAGTCACACAATTTTCCTTGAGGGCTGAGATCATAAAGTCCTTTCTTTTCCTTAGAAGATGCTGAGGTAAAATACATATATCTTGAAGTATTGAGTAGTAAATAAACCAAGCTCTTTTAAGGTAAATGGGTAAAATCAGTCTCTACACTTTAAAATGAAAGTGATTACCATGCAAGGCACTCGGTATACCTAGATACAAGGTGGTGACTGGTAAACTGGTTTCGCATGCATCTTCTCATTTCCCTGCTGGGATGTTTGAGCATTATCATTAACAGAGAATGTGAATTTCATCAGTTAGTTGAAGATTTTTTTTGTGCAGAATAGATAGTATACAAAACACACAAAAGAGCAAATCAAGAGACCTGTGGGAGAGCTTGACTGATGCTTTTGAACTACTTTTTTTTTTTCAGCTGTGGATGGAAAAGCACCACTTGCTACTGGTGAAGATGATGATGATGAAGTTCCAGGTAAGAGCAACAGCGGAAAAGGAAGTGAATTTTGCTGAGAGATAACGTGTAGTATAAGGTCAGGCCAAGGATGGTGAGAGCATTGACTAGTCACTTGCTATCACTGAATTTCGGTGAGCAGGTTATTTGTTTTCAGACCCCACGAGAGACTGAAATGGGCTGTTTTGAGCTAGCATTTTTGTCCCTTGTAGAAATAATAGCTATGGCTAAGATAATTATTTAATACTCAGGAAGAAGGGTGGGAAGAAACTGCCTTCTCACTACCACTTTTCCTGGCTCTGGGTGTAGTGCAGTGCCGTTAGAACTGTGCTTTATGATGAGCCATCTAAAATCTATATGAACAAGAAAAATGAACCAAAAATCTCTTAAAGGTTATTTGGTCTGCATTTTATAAGCTGGAAGTTTTTTACATTATAAGCACTTGACACTAAGTAGAACTTTGGGAGAACAAACCAAAACCAGAACCAAATGAAAACGTGGCAAAGCGGAAGTGGGTCAAACATTAATTTCAATGTTCTTCTTTTTCTAGATCTTGTTGAAAACTTCGATGAAGCTTCAAAGAATGAGGCAAACTGAACTAAGTGTCACTTTCTGAATAAAGTTAAAACTTGAAAAAAGCTACTTGGAGCTGCTGTTTTCTATTGTGACTGCTCTGACTTTATTTCCTGATGAGATACCAAGATCTGTGATATTTGGAAACTCCTTGAACCTGCAGCTCTTTAGTCACCGCTTGTACACAATATTATTTTTGTGGCCTCATTGAACAAACCTATGCTTTGAAATAAGTCAGATTGCTAACAAATCTCTGCCTAGACACATTTTTTGAGTAACTTGTATACAAGCAAAACCCCATCTTTAATGAACTTTGGCATACAATAAAAATAGAAAACAAACTTTCTGGTGTGGCTTTTTGTCAAAAAAACAGAAAGTGGTCATAAATACTAATCATAAAAGGTCTCTCTTTTCTGCAGAGGAACTTCCTTTTGCAGTGTTAGACTCTCTTGTAGAAGTTTTTTTCTGTGTAAAAGGGAGCATTTTAGGCTCAGTTGGTGAATTCCCAGTGTTTGCAGGTCGGTGCTATGTACACCAAGTCAATTTGTGATCTGTGTTCTAGACATAATTATCAGTGGTTTAGTGTAACATACAAGCTGAGAGGGAGCTTTGCTTGGCCTTGGAAGAACAGCTTTTGGCTTCTCAGGGGAACCAGATACTGATGTCAAACTCTTACCTTCAGGGAGTGATTAATAGGTATTTCCAGGGTGTCACTGTTTAATGAGTCAAGCAATACTTACCCAGTACTCTAATTTTACTTATCTGAAAGTCAGTTATGCAGGGGAATGAAGAATAGGAAGGGGAAAAAGCTGTAACAGAACTGATAAATGGTTTTTAAGTCTGTATTTAGCATCTTCAGATCTTTTAACTAATGATTATATTTGGATATTTCAGGAAAATGTTCTTTCTATTGCTTTTGTGTATTCCAGGGAAAATGAACTTCTTTTGGGGCACAAGGAAGACTTTAAATTCCAGTCTGACCTTTATGTTGTTGGAGCTTTTAGGGGTGAGAGCTAAACTTAATGTTTGTATGTCTTTGGAGTTAATGGTAGCTCAGGCCGCTTCCATAGCAGGAGCTAAGCTTGGATAGAATAGCACGCTCTAAGGCTGTCTCTAGAGCGAATACTTCCAGAAGTAGAAATTCATCCCGATTGGTGCAGGGTAAAATTCAGGCTGGAGTGTTGCTATAGCCGTAACAAAGTTCTGCCGGTGCCTGGGGAAAGGTGGGGCTGTGTCTGACTTGCCAGGCGTGTTTGTCATGGTGTAAGTCACCGCTGTTGGGAAACAGCGGAAGGATGGGTTCAGGCAGCGCAGCTCCTGCGATTTGAGGTAAGGCCACAGCCCGACGCGAATGTGGCTTGTCTGAAGTCAGGTGCGAGAACAGAAAGTAACAATTTTCAGTTTACTGGTCCCAGTTTGCAAGTACTTTGTCAGTAAATCATGCTTTTTAGCATTGAATTAAATTTTTAAAAGTGCATTTATTGCATGGTGGCAATAAGGTAGAAAAACTGAACTATGCAATTTTGAGTTACTCTGTGGGGTTGTTTACCACACTTGCTGTGACCTGTCAAGTCCATAAATGTGTACCCACTTTTACGAGAAATCAGTAGATGTGTTGCCCATTCTGTGATTCAAATATGCGTAGTCAGAAAAACTTCCTTTAAGCCACCATTACCCCTTGTTTATGAAATGTTCATACTCGTTTCTGTCTCATGGAGTGACCTAATGTCTTGCATAAATAGGTGGTCTAGGCAGTATTTGCCTTTTCCCTACCTGGTGCTTAAAACTTAAGATCCTTGCTAAACCAGTATCTTTGAAATGCAGAATGACGCTAATCCGGTGATAAGCAGCCATGTGACCTGTCTGTGGAAGTCTCCCTGCCAGGTATGCTCCCAGTCAGGAAAAGCTGATGTTTCTCGGACCGAGGATCCAGATGCGATCAAAATGTGTTCTTGATGATACGTTCTAAGGGGAAGTAGTTCTCTTGTTGGAAGTTTACAGTAGTCTTCATGTCTCAACACTTAAATGCTCAGTCCTGGGCTCAATGCTGTGATTATTTTCTCTTATCGAGGAGTTTGAATATGGCGGTCTTAGTCTGTCAACTGCTAGAAATTGAAAATAGTCATGTTGATGTTTCTCATTAGCTTGAACTTCCCTGTAACCATACTGTAATTATGCCATTACAGATTCCCGCCTGTGGTCTTGCTTAAGGAAAATGGCTTCATATCTCCATTCCAGATACCTTGGGACAGTGGAGAAATGAGAACAGGTGCCTGCATTTCTGATGAATCAAAGGTTTGTTAGAGCTCTTTCTTTTTTAAAAGAGTGAAGGGAATGTTTGGTTCTCTTCTATCAAACTTTATAACAGCTTGACTCCAGTGCAGTAGTGGGTGCTAGTGGGATTCTTCCATTGTTTTTGCAACGCATTTTTAGAAATACTTTCATAATTATTAATCTTATGCTTTAAGGGCTTTGGTTTAAAATTCATATATTCTAATTAAAAAACCCCAAATCGTTTTGGAAGATGGTGAAACCATGTATTTCATAGAATCACAGAAT